TGGGGTGTAGTAGGGAGTATAGGAATAATCCTCTTATATGGATGAGGTAATCGGTTATTCCAATACTGGTATTGGCATTATTGGTAATGGGGAAGTAGTAGTGATGTAGTTGGTGAGGTGTAGGGGGGAGTATAGGAATAATCGTCTAATGGGTTGACTGGTGGTATTATTACCCAAAATGGGCAAGGGCTCTGCTAACTATTTTGGGGTCCTTCTAATAAGGGTCCTACTATTTAGGGTACTATATTGGGGTCCCCTATTTTCTGAAACTCCCACATACAGTTTAAGCTACCATTATAGTTACAGTAGTTTGTAATTTGTATATTGCATATTAAGTTCAGCAAAACATGCTGTTTATCATGTTCCACGGTATGGTAAGTTAAAACAGTACATATGGTAGTCGATGAGGAGATACGTAATACCATGAGTCAAAATGTCACAATTTGCACACATACGTGTGTATATACATATACTATATATCATATATCATATATATATATATATACATATACATACGTATATATGTATGGTCACCCCCCCCCCATATTATATATATATGTATTTGCATAATATATATATATATATACACACATATATATATATGGGGAAAAACCCCATGAACTACCGACCCTCATTTTGTATCGAAAATACCGTGTTAAACCAGCTTTTCCGGCAGGTCCGGATTCCGTATCTCTCAAAGACTGCCAAAGCCAAACTCACGTTTCAAGAGAACATGCTAGACAACTCGTTCAGGTTCGACATGAGCACGCACTCTGCTGCAACACTGTATGCTTCGAATCAAAAACCAACCTTCAGGAAGCTCGTTCAGGATCTACGTGAGCACGTACTTAACAGCAACACTGTGCTCTTCCAATCAAAAACGAAATTTCCAGACTCCAAAAAGATATTTTTTATCTCCCTAGGGAAAAGTTGGTTTTCAGGAAAAACCAACTTCTCCGAAGAGAAACATGCTTTTTCCTAGGAAAGCTATGGTTTTCGTCGGAAATACCAAGTTCTTCCTATGGCAAGAATGGTTTTTGCTGACAAGCAAATTTTTCCCAGCAAAAGATGGACTTGGGCAGGAAAACCAAAAAACAATATTATTGGAGTCTGGCCGCATAGTTTCCCAAAAGAAGTTTGTTTTGGTTTTCCCGAAGCAAACATGGTTTTTCCGTTCGGGGCACTCAAAAATGCAATGAGCTACCCTGAACAGCGGCTCAGGACTTTCAATCGCCACAACTCCGCAGGTGGGATCGGGTGTTGACAGATGCATTTAGGGTTTTTTTGGAATTGAGGCTCGTTTGGGTGTTTTACGCCAACATTCTATTGTGCAGGGTTCCGTGTTTGGGTTTTTCTGTGTCTGAAACTCTCCTTTCGTAACGTCACTGCTCAAATACCCCTGCAAGGCATGATGGGAAGAGCGATACGAAGGGGGGGCTCGTTGCAGCCGCAGAACCCATTGGGATTGCCCCTTGGTTTGAAGCCTGGGTCGCCAGACCACCAAGTTAGGCCCCAAACCGTCCTGAACCGTAAAATTCCAAACTACCCCAATAGAACCCTTGCAAGACGACCCCTGCACACCCTCTTCACGGAACTCCGCTCGAGACAGTCCCTTCTAGTAGCCCTTATAGAGCCCTTTAAGGATCCCTTTAAAGGAACCTTATTCTAATTATTAAGGCCCCTACATTATAGAACCCTTATAGTCGGTGACTCCAAAGCTGCACCGGTGGCCAAGGCGCTCCGAGTCCGAAACCGACGTCTCCTCGGAGGGCAGTCTCTACTCGCGCCTCCATTTGCACATGTGGGGGAGCGGAGTTTCCGCACAAGTCGGGTACCCTTTTCTAGGGTTCCTTTTGAATGAGGGGCTTCTATTCCACGGCATCTCAAAGTCTCCGCTTTTTCTCTTTCTTGCCGCTCTTACCCGCCTTCAAAGGCTCGACGAGGTGAAGCGGATCGTGGAGCAGGAGAATGAGATGGGTCTGATGGATGGGGGGCCGGCAGCTTCGAAGGGCTCCTCGAAGTCCGAAGCTGAGCCCGTGAAGGTGCCCCTGAACAAGCCGCCCCAGCTTCACACCTAGGCGGGAGGGGCTTTTCAGGATTCTACCCCCCGCACTTTCATGTGCCCCTTGCGTGGGCGCTGGAGGCGCCCGTACAGTCTTTTTTTGAAAGGAGTTGCAGGTCCTCGGATCTATTCGGATCTGCCGTGTCTGCGACTCTTTGGAAAATAGAGCGGTCAGGGTCACAAGAGTCGCCTCGTGCGACCTGCGGTGCGAGTTTTAAGCTGGGAGAAGCGGTCGATACCTGCTGTATCAACCGGTGAAGGCCTGTTTGCAGCTGTGTAGCTGCGTAGCTGATCGTAGGATCTCGGAGGATGGTTGATTTGCGGTTAGTCCGCTGTCAGCCTCTGCATTCCTCCTAAGGAGGAATGCTCACGTCACTCACATATCTGAATGGTGCCGTCGACCTGGCCGACGTCAGAAGCTTAATCTTCTGTGTCTGACAGGTTTTGCAACTCACGTCTCGTGTCTTGCTTTGCGGCCACGGGTCTGGAAAAAGCTTTTGCTCGCTGCTGGCTGTGCAGGCGCTGGTTCGCGTTGGTCGCGTTGCCTAGAACCTTTGCAGTGTTCCTACCGTCGATCTCTGCAGGTGTGGCAACGCCAAAGGCAACGCAACCTCTCAAGGCAGGTCGGACCTGCATTTGGTAGTGGAGTGCTTTAGAGATTTTAGAGAGAGTCATAGCTGCCATAGCTTTGTATCGATTGAAGTACATAAGCATGTTGGGGGGCCAACAGCAAGAGGCATGAAAGTGGGTTTCCGGCAGCATGTGCTCGGTGTATTGTTGAGTAGGCTCTGGTGCGTGCGCGCGCGTTTTGTTGAGTATTGCCATGTCGCCTTGTGGAGGCCCTTCCGTCTCGAGCCAAGCCAGGCCCCAGCGGGCAGTCTGCATGAACCTGTCTAGATGTTGTTGTGATTTCACATGCAAAAGTCTGCCCTGACCGGAGCACCGGCAGGGCGGCCGACAGAGCAGAGGCCAGGGGCAGCGGGCAACTGTGCAAACAGGATTCTTTTACTCCGACGCAGTTTGCAAAAGCACCCCCCTGGGTTGAGGCCACGCCTGCCAGGTGCTGGAAGGACCGGAAGCAGCCCGCAGCGCCACGCTGGAGTCCAGATGCGCTCAAGCGCCACGCGCAGTGAAACCGAAACCGAGCATTTGCCCTGCTTGTAGCGCAGCCTGTGGACAGTTTCCATCCGTCCGTCTATCCATCCATCCATCAATCCATCCATCCATCCATCCATCCATCCATCCATCCATCCATCCGACAAACAAACCAACAAGCAAACACACAAGGAACCAACTGAACGAAGGAGATCACGCGGCAAACAAGCATGCATACACGTACGACGACATGCATACCCATACAAATACATAACACAAGCACACAGATGCATGCATGCATGCCGCATGCGTGCAAGCAGATGTGTGTATGTGTATGTGTGTGTGTGTATATGTCTTTACTTCCATGTATATATATATATATATGTATATATATATATATATATATATTTGCCTGCAACTTGCCTGCACACATCCATTTGTCCATCTGTTTGTGTGTCCGTCCGTGCTCTCTCTGTCTACCTATCTATCTGTCTGTCTGTCTGTCTACAAACACACACACACGCACACGCAGGATTAAGTAGGTATGTATGTATGCATGCATGTATGTATGTATGTATGTATGTATGTATGTATGTATGTATGTATGTATGTATGTATCCATGTATGTGCGTATGCGCGTATGTATACACGTATGTATACATATGAATGAATGAATGATTGAATGAATGAATGAATGAATGTATGTATGTATATATATATATAGGCATAGGTGTATGCATGTACAGATGTCTGCACGTGTGCAAGCATACATCCGTACTTCTACTAATGTCTTGATGTAGATAGACCAAAAGCTATTTTGTGTGACTCTCCCTCACTCTTTCTTTCTCCCGCTATGCTATGCATGTATGTATGCATGCATGTACGCATGCACGCATGTACGCATGTACGTATGTATGTATGTATGTATGTATGTATGTATGTATGTATTTATGTATGTATGTATGTATGTATGCATGTATGTATGCATATGTGTGTATCAATGCATGTATGCACACATGCGCATAAAGTTGTATAACATACATCGCGATGCATTGCGTTATGATACTGCATATTGCTACACCTCGTTATGTGTTCAGCTATTTGTTGTCCTGCTACATGTATGTACATATATATATATATATTATACATATACATACAGTATATAGTTATACAGTTATACACATACACACATCACGACATGCTATGTTGAATGTGCTTGTACATGTACACCCATATATATATATATATGCATATGCAGACATCTCCAACTACCTCCATAGATCTACATCTACAGACATGCCCAGCACATACGTCTTTTTGCCATGTATGGTTATGCCTGCGCTGCCCTGTTTGTGTTCGGGACAAGCTCCGCTGCTTTGGACTTGGCTCACGAGCTGACAGAGAGTCGTAGAGGGCACCTCGCTGCCTGGGGTGCGGCCGATGTGCTAGGCTTGTGCATCGTGCTGCAAGAGAAGGCATGTCAGTCGAATGCGGGCCGCGTTCCTTTCAGACGGCCATGCCTGGGAAGATCATCGATGTGGACTGGAACAAACATCACATAGGCCAGGGCTTGTCGTCGCAGGAGAAGCCGCGTTTGTCTTTCGTTTGCCGCAGGGGCATCCGAATGGGAAAGCCGGCATCAGCGTCGCTATCTGCAGCGCTTGGAGCACTATCACAGGACATTGCCGAGTTTCATACCCTGCGGGCGAGAGCTTGGTCCTGTATCCCAGGATGATTGCGGCGGGAGAGTATACACGTCCTGTCCAGGCCCAGCTTGGCGCTTGGTGACACGAAGCAAGTCTGCATGCAGTGACCTGTGTGCATTTGTTGTTCACAACTGAATCAATGCACACTGGGCCGGGTCGTGCTGGGGTTTGTGGCGGCTTCGGAGCAGGTGCCCTCGGCGCCGCAGTCTGGGCCTTTGCTACGAACTGAGGAGGGGGCGGTGGGTGCAGCTTCTCAGGTCAGCGTATGCCTCCGCTCGAGTTGCTCCCCAAGAGAGTCGGAGAATTCGGGGCCATTCCACTTCTCTTGTCCTGCAGATGCCTGCGCAGCGAGGTTCCGACGGCCTCCAGAAGCTTGAAGCTGAGCTCGGAACCGAGCAACTCTTGGCTTTGAAACATCTATGCCCAGGTTCCCGAGACTGCCCTGTGCCAGGATCTGCAGGCGGGGAAATAACTAGTGACTGCCTTTGCAGATCACGCAGAGCGATCTGGGCTTCTTCCATTGCTGTGATGTCGGTCCCGCCGTGCCTGAGGTCATCCAAGAACCCCTTCCACCTCATTGCTACGGTCCCAGATCTCTGAGTTGTCTTGTTTTCCCCTCACGTTCACAACACAAAGGACGACACTTTGGCGCCGCTGCCTCTCCTCTCCTGATGGCTTGCGCCCACCCTCCTCAGCCTTGTCAGCAATGACGCCCTCGACGCGCGAGCGCCGCGAGCCGAGATGAGAAGAAGGCCCACAGACAACAGAGAAGCGCGCCGCACGCCCACCCCACGGCGCCGAGGAGTGCTGGAGCGGCTGCGCTCCAATGAGGCCACCGGCCACCAACAAAGGTTGAGAAAGAGCATTAAGAAGCTGTTCTTCGGTTCCTCGCCGCGACTCTCGTCGTACCTTTGAATGAGGCTTGGTTCACCGCCTGCGAGCGAATGGGCAAGGAAGAGTTGCTGGACTTGGTGGAGTGCGCCACTGACAGCGGAATTCTGGTCTTCTGGAGGTTCAGGTCACAGGCAGGTCAGGGTAGGTTGGAAAGGTTCTTGATGATTTTCACTCCATTGAACTGGTCTCTTCAGTGACCGTCAGAAACCCCGACCAGACGGCCGTTCCACAATTATGCCACACGATGCGCTTTCCCAGGCATGTGCACGGGAAGATAGTGGACGAGCGACGGCGGCGAAAGGAGGCCGATGCCATACGCTACCCTGATACATACCAACCCTTGTGCAGCCTTGCAGCGCCAAATAATCTAAGGGAAACCAAGCAACAAAAGGTTCCGGTTAAACGAGATAGATAGGTAGATAGATAGGTAGATAGATATAGAAATAAATATAGATATAGATATAGATATACATAATTATATAATCATATATGTATATATGTATATGTATATCTTCAAGGGAGCCCCCATTTGCAGCTGGTCACTTCGCTCGGAGGCAGAGGTCGAGCTCCTGGCGGCGCAGAGCCCAGGCAACCGCCATCTTGTGGATTTCTGGTTTCATAAAGGGGGGGGGAGGTGTCTTTCTAGGGTTCGCTTATCGGGGTCTCTACATACTGGTACCTTATGCTGGCACGTAGGGCTTTGGGTTTTGGTCCAGAGATTTCAGGATTTGGGGTAGGCCCAGTCTTGTGTGGAAGGCATCCAAGTCAGGAGCACTGGATGCCCTGCAAAATTCAGCTCCTCAGCTGTAGGAGCGTCGGCGAGGGATGCCAACCCGAAGAGGCAAGTGCCGGTTCCGAGCAGATTCTCAGTGATCAGATTCCAGAATGCATCGAATACAGTTCGTCCGCTGTGATTGGTGTTGCTGCACGCTGAGCTGCAGCCTTGCCAGGTAGCGCGGTCACTGCAGCTGCTGTGTTAATGAGACCCGTCGCGGAGACTGCTCACGGCGCGTACCCGGTGTAGAAGCCGCCGCGAAAAGGCATCAGCGAGGTGATATGGTTAACGAAGAGCTTTCCACCGTGAAGAGAGTGGTGGGAAGGGAGGATTGCAGGTTGCTAGCCGCCCAGATACTACAGCAGATCATTGATTCCAAGATCACTACGAATCCCTGCAACTCCTCTGCAAGTGCATGCAGGTAGGAGGGTTCACAGCACAAGCTGTGACCGCACCGGGGAGATGCTAAGCACTACTCGGAAAAATTGAATGCAAGGTCCGCGCGGTGAGCATCAGCGTTCTTGTGAGCTGTCGAGTGGGGACGTGTTGCTTGGCATTGATCGTTCGTGCATGCCGAACACCGTCTATGCTCGTGAGAAGTGCATGTGTCGGGCAACGGAGCGAGCTCAAGGTTTTCAAGTAACTCGAAAAAATTGAGCATTGGTTTGGGCTTCAGTTGTGCATCGTGGTTGACGTTTTGGTACCGGGTCGTTTGTGATCAGATTTCAGCCGGAAGGTCGTGGGGTGAAATGCCTTCGCCACATGGGCCCATACCTGAAAAGCCGAATCAAGGCTGCAACACTGAAACAGAGTATCGCGCAGCCAACTCACGAGACTCTGCAGCATGTCCCGCCCTAATGCTCTACAGCCGCGGGCCGCAACCTTCGGAGCTCGAGCAAATATTTCACCTTGGCAAGCATATATATATATATATATATATATGTATACTATTATTAATACATTGCGGGGCTCCAGTCAGTGTGTGAAGCATGCACCCATTGATGGTGAATTTCGGCTCGAATCCACATGTCACGATTTCCAAAGAGTCGTTGGGCGTGAGTCGTGCCGAAGACCGGTGCGTCAGAGCCTTTCGTAGCCGTGGCCTCAGGCATGATTTCTGTTGGGCCAAACACGGTGTGAATTCTGAGTGATGTGGGCTTTTCGATAAAGCAGGAGACCCTCACTCATACAAGGTTTGAATCGTGAGGTTCACAGTCCTTATGTTCATCGCTTCTGCTGTTTGCAGCTGCTTCCCAGGTCTCATGTCACTGTAGGGTGCTAGCTGTTTGGACGTGTCGCCTGAATCCGTGCCTGCTTCGAGCGCGTTTGCCGGTCGGAATGGTACGTAGGATCCTTACGATCAGTATCCTGACTGAAGGTACCCAACCCTAACCCTAAACGCCCCCATAGTTTTTAGAGGCTTCACGAGAAGTGTGGTCACTTGCCTTGCCAAGGTTCGGTCTGGCCTGGACGTCTATCCGAGATGTCCGGAAGAGCACGGCAAGTACAAAGAGAACCCATCAGAAGCAAGGAAAGGCATCAAGCAGCACCCGATTTATTTGCGTGTTTTACATATTTATGTAGAAAGATATAGAAAGATGTGATTATGTACTCGAGGTTTATCCCCACCTATGTTCGAGCACTACACCAAGTGGTAAATATGTTTCCCGACATTCGCTCCGTTGATTTGGGGGAGCCGTCCTTGCAGCTTTGCCATGGCATCCTCGGCATCCCCGCAACCCATCGACTCGGCCTGGACCTTGGATCTGGGCTTTAGGGTTCAGGGTCTAGGAGCATGAGGGTTGTTAGGGTTTACGGCTGATGGAATTCTTAGGTTGAGGGTATCCTCTTAGGGTGTCGGTCGTGCGGCTGTTCTTGCTCCAGCAGAAATCTCATGAGATCTGAGCTCCCAGTCGAGGCATTTGAGCAACTCCGTGCCGACTGCTCTTCGAAGGACAAACTCCTGGAGGAGAGCCGCCAGGCGATTGTGGAAGCCAGAGAAAAGCCCTAAAGCACCAAGAAATGCTGTGTGGGTGGGTTCTGTGAATTGATCACCAGAAGAAGGCATCAATTTTGTACCGAGGACCCTTAGTCTTAATCGGGACCCTAGTTTTGAGAGCCCCCATTCCAGGTCTCTTCTCAGCCCCCGTCAACTTCGAAAGCCGCAAAACCCTTCAAGCCCCGAAGCCCTAAACCTCAAAAGAATACAGCCACGAACCCTTGAGCCGTAAACCTTCAAAGCCCTAACTAGAACTCCATAAATCCCTCTAAGACTCTAAGAGCCTCGACCTTACACCTTAAAGATCCGGCAATAATATCGACATGACAATAAGAATCATAAGAATAAAGAGTAAGAAATTTGGCAAAATAACAAGAGCAAGCATCGCAATACCAATAACAGCGGTAATATTATAATGATGATGAAGAAGTAGAAGTAAAGCCCTGAAGAATCCATCTGCGAGGCTCTGGAGCGTTCACGCCATGAGGAGGATCGGAGGTTGCGGGAAGCCGCCGTTGAGCACCGAAAGAAGGCGTTTGGCGAATTTCAGGATTTTCGGGGTTTTGGGCTTCAGGGTTTAACGTTTTCGAGATTTTAGGGATTTAAAGCCGCCTATTTCGGTTTGGGTGGTGTTGTTTTTCTATTCTCTGTATTCGTCGTGAGGGGAATTTCTGGCCAGTGGTTTCACCTGCGACCAGTAACACGGGTGGTTCTAACACCATGACTGTGCAGAGGCGGTAGGTTCGAGGAGTATTCTGAGTTTCAAGGGTCGATTCGTCACTCGCAGTTTCCAACTGCAGCCGAAGTGGACTGAGTCCGTTGTCGGCACAGTCCCGCGATGCAAAGCATTGCTTGTGCAAGCAGGCGCAAGAAGAGAGGGCTGCAACCAAGCAGGTCTTGACTGAGATGCGGCAGGCAGGTGCAAGGAGGACCTGGCCTTTTGTTGCGATGGTAGTTGTGTGCAGATGAGGTCCGCCAGAAAGTGCATGGCCAGCTTCGAGCTGCTCAGGCCCTTGAAGGGCTGTGAAGAAACACATAGGGGCGAAGAGCGAAGAGCCAAGAAATGGGGATTTCAGAAAATAAGGGACCCTGATATAGTACCCTAAATAATAGGATCCTTACTATAAGGACCCCAGAATAAGGTACCCCTTACTTTCGGAAACTCCCCAATGACGCGAGGCACAAGGCTTCCACAGCACGAACGGAAGCCACCAGGCCCTGGCCTCACTGCTGGGAGCTCCCTGGCGATGTTCATGAATCCCAGGCCTTGGTGAGGGCTGGCAAAAGGGCGCTCACTGCGTTCGGGCCTTACGGCTGGGGCAGGTGTAGACCCAGCAGAAAGTTTGTGGTACTCAGGCGTAGCCACACGGAGCAGTGGGAGGCCGGGATGGTAGCCTCACTCCTTCGTATGTCTCTTCTTGTTCAGCTTCTGCAGGAGGGATTTCTTAGCGGACGCGGCTCTCGCAACTAATCCGAACTTGTGGCGGAAGCTGTGCTCACGCGGCAGGCACAAGCCGATGTGGCTGAGAAGTGGGCTGAAAACAGCCTGCAGCGGGAGCTCGTGGGAATCCAGCGTTGCTGATCAATCATGCATAGCTGAAGTTTTCAGCATATCGACCCTGTGAGTTCGAGAGTTCACGGTAGAAGCGTTTTATGCAGCTCGCTCTCAGACACGCAGGAGAAGGAGTATGTGAGCAGTGTGAAGGATGCAGCCGAGAAGAGAACAGCCACGAACCTACCGGGCCACACCTATCGGGACCTATCGTATGCCAGTCGTATGCATCGAAGCCGGGGCCATCGATTCAGGCCACCATCCATGGTGTGACCGGGGATCGTGTTCAGAAGAGCCAGGAGCTACGTGCTTAGAACATCGTGAGCTTGACCTTGACACACTTTGGGTCCCAGAGCTGCGCTGGGGTTCGCTTCAAGGCTCCTCTCGGCTTCAAAGCAGCAAGAGCAAGCGGTGAAGCTGCTGGAGCCCAAGATTCGTTTGGCCGACAGTTTTGCCCGTTGCCGCCATGGCAGGCACTCTCACAGACAGCTGGAGACGCAGGTGCAGCAGGTCGCAAGGCATGCTCAGATCAAGGCGGGTCTCCCTTGCCAAGTACAGACGGCATGCCTTGTGGAACTTTAGCCTTGGCCAGTGTTTTCGTGAACCTTGGCAGCAGGTCGACAATTCAACACGAGCCGCAGATGCCGCCAAACGGCAACTGTACCAGGCTCCGCAAGTTGCGGTATGTTGCGGTCAAGTTGCTGTTGAAACATGTGGAAGGAAGCTGAGGAGGTTGTTTTGGTAGAACCAGCGGGGGAGTTTCACGTTATAAACGGCCCGAGATACGCCTAACTTTGAGAACCTCCGTGTCAACTCGATCTACCGCGGGAAGCCCTTCAGAGTCAGACGCGAGACCCCGACTTGACAGGCAGAAGCCAAGTCTGCAGAGCAGAAAGCAGGACCCGGAGCCTAGAGTTTACGTAGTTCAGGGTTTACGGCGTTTACGGGCTTTTTGGACGGTCAAAGAACATCAGCAAGGGCCTGCAGTTGGTGCTGGGCTGAGATCACTGGAGCCATGGAGTCTACGTTCACATGCATTTGAAGCTTGATGGAGCCCTTAAGCTCCAAACTGCGACAGACAAACCCGAAAAGGTGCACCGAACTCAAAGCCC